TTTTCGGATTTTTTTGTCCGTCCGGGTTCGGGCTTAACGGGCTGGACCGGGCCTGGCTATTTTTTTTTTAAAGTAAATTTTATTTTTCTTATTCAATGTTATTGATACTTAAGTGTTTGCAAACTTTTAAGGCTTAGAATTAAACTTTGAAGTTTAAAGTTTTAAATTTGAAATTTGAATTTTAAAATTTTAAAATTAAAATTTGAAAGTAAGTGACTATAAAAAATTATTTAATAAGACCAATAGGCAATATGTAAGGTTCAAGATCCGAAGGCTTTCATTTAATATTTTTATTGAATAATATATAATACTTCAAACTAAGTTGTAAGTTCTTTTTTGATTTTTTTATTTTTGAACTTGCAAATTAAAAGTTTACAACAATTATAAAAAAATAAGAAATAGTACATCATATGTTTTGCATCATTTTTGTAAGTTCATCCATGTCAATATGAGGTTCTTTGAATTTGACCGTTGGCAACGGTCCAGAAAATAAAAAAAATAAAAAATTTATAACGGATACCGGGTTGAACCGGACTGTAGCCCGTTAAAAACTCGTTAACGGGTTAGCGGGCTTAGCGGGTTCCGATGCACCGGTATCAAAAAACTGTTCGTTTGAAATCCGCTCCCCGCCCAACCAGTCCCAGCCCGCCCCCAATGCTACAGTACCGGGCTGAACCGGGTTTAAACGGGTCAGTCCGGCCCGATTAACAGGTATAGGTACAATACAGCTTTTTCAGAAGATAGCTTTTGCAGGCGAGCAGCTTCTCAGGTCGACAAGACAGTTATTTTTTTTTTAAATGGTTTTATATTAGATTGTTGTACTGAAGTATTAATGTTAAATATCAATAAAATTTAACAGCAATGGAAACATAATTTTATTTCATACATTCTGCAAGATAAACAAGTACATACACTTATTACAACCACATTACGGAAACAAAACACTACGTGTATCCTTGATAGTTGGGTACATTAGATGAATTTCCACCAAGAGCTAGATTACCACTGCCACCCAAACCAGCTGAAGGACATATATGACGGTCATGTCCTATTTGCGAGCATATGCCACATTTGCGCGCATAAACGGTATTACCAACATCCATTTGATTCCGCATACGCGTTCTTTTTTTCACTTGTCGTTGACGTACATAGTCCTTGTTATACACCAATTTAAATGGTTCCGGCGGCTAATAATACTCAGCACCCACTGGCTGCAATTGTCCACTATGGGTGTTTAAGTATGCAGCGACACTATATTCTTTATCAACATAGTTGGTTGCCCCTAAACCTGTATGTTGAAAGCACTTGATGGCATGTGAGCACAATATGTGGTAGATGGACCATTTCCCATAAGAGCATAACCTTCTGGCTTCATTTACGGTGTGTGTATTATTCCCCCGATTTCGATGGATAGCGGTGCGAACTTCAAAAATATTTCGCTCGTTGCAATACTGTAAATATGAATGCCAATGTGCTCGTCGCTTGTATTTCTCAAATCTTTTCATTGGTATTGGCATAAATTCAACACCTCTTTTCCATCAATGACGATGCACCTCTAGCCCTTTCAACAAACCTCTCTGACATCTGCTTGAATGACATCCACACCATGGCAGTGACAGGCAATTCACGTGCAGACTTCAATAACCTGTTGAAAGACTATGACACATTTGTAGTCAGAATTTCCCATCTTATGCCACCATCCGCATGCAAAGTCCACTTGTCAAGCTCATGTCGCATCAACCAACGATAGGTTCCCTCGTCTTCCTGCCTGATAGATTCCATGCGCCTCCTGAATTTACACTCTTTGTGATCTGTTGCAGCCATCCACATTAAATCATGCAAATCCTTGTTGGGATATGCCTTCTGGAAATTGGCCTTCAGGTGCCTCACACGGTAACGGTGGTAGGCATACGGTTCCTGCCATGCATGCAAATTCTGTACAGAACTTAAAATACCACCATGTCGATCAGATATTAGACAAATACCTGAACGTTGTTTGATAACGTGCTATTTCAAGTGGTTCAAAAATAGTGTCCACGTCTCTTGGCTTTTATTGACACAAATAGCAAAAGCTAAGGGAAATATAGTTTCATTAGCATCTACTGCAACGGCGATCAACAACTTAATATCATACTTTCCATAGACATGAGTGCCGTCTATGGATATTATTGGGCGGCAATGCAGAAAATCATCAATTGCTGGTTTAAATGCCCAGAACACATATTTGAATATATGTTCTAGTATTCCCGGACTCCGCTCAAGCTTCCATTCAACAACGGTCCCGGGGTTAAAGTGTTGCAATGTAGCCATGTACATGGGTAGAGATGCAAAGGACTTATCCCAGTTACCATAAACAATTTTAAACGCACGTTTGCGCCCGAGAAATGCCTTTCTTTTGGTAATGGTGCACCCATATTCCTGGTGGACGGATGTTATACACTTTTTGATCTTGTACCTTATGGACGCTTCAATGTGTGGAATCAAGACAAGAGAAATCAAGTCAACATTCAAGTTAAAATGATTCTCACTGAATGTGTCCATTTCACAATTGTATGTGCCAATGTATTTACCCACAACCCACATATTTATTTTCTTCTTCCTCGCACGCAGCATCCATTTACAACCCGTAAATCATCTATGGCAGACTACCTTGTATACATCTGGATATGACTCGCGTACCATGATCTCACGACACTCTTTTGCGTTGTACATTAGCACCACCCTGGTTAGGCGCGCTTTATCAAGAAAAAGCATGCCCTTTGACAGCACCGTTGCTCTAGATTCATCCCACATTGCTGTCCGAATTTCGTCAATATCCCTTGTGAGGGCATCCACATCCGGCATACTTGGCAAATGATCAAGGTAGGGAATCTTCCTTGAATAAAACGGCACGTGGGACTCGTACACTCTTGGTCTAACGGGGGTGGAGCATGCTCCCTCGTCAAATCGGGTCCAGCATTCTCTTCTTCCTCATCATCTCCCTCATTAAGGAAGGGTGTGTTATCTCCAGACTCATCGGCATTGTTTTCATAATCACTATTCTCTTCCTGAGTCTGTGCATCTGCCAGATCCCGATTAAATATGTCGTCTTTGGGCAATTCAGTAAGGACAGGACCTTCAGGATGCTCGTTTTCACTGCACAACCAATAAAATAATGAGTTACTCAAATTGATAAATACTGTATATATAGCTATATCACTTCACTTATAAATCGTAATATGTTGACATCCCATAATGGACATTATCCTGTTGGTGATGACTCCCGGATGGACCACCATGATCCAACACACCAGAACTAGGCATATTCCAATTGGGTGTTGGTTCATAACTTGTAAAATTTATATATGGCAGGTACCCCCAGTGGAATATATGAGTGTTAATACAAATTCAATACAGCAAAAATAAATACCGTAATACAAAGGAAAATAGAAGTTTACCACTCATTTTGTGGATTATGTAAACTAGGATAGAAAGTATTTCCTCGCCCCTCATTCGCCTGTGGAGATAATTTTAGATCAGGCCAAACTCTTTCAGCCGGAACCTGTTCGGCTAAAACTGCTCCAAAACAACCACCCAATGACTTAAGAATATCCCTGTTTTGCACAACCTCATTATTGCGAACGTCTTCAACCTTGACGTACATTTCCAACATTTTTATTACAAGAAATTTCCGGTATTCATCCGGAGTCCTCAAAAAATCTCTCCGAGTTTCATCGTCATCGATGTTAAACTCAGCATAACAAGCAACCCCTTGCGAAGTGACAGAATACGGATATATTCCGGTTACTTTAAGGTTCACCGNTCTCCCCCTCCAATATAATGAAACCCTTATTCTTCGCTCTTCAAACATTATGACAAAATGCAAAACAACTTAACAAAGAAATATTTCAGAAGACTTGAGAATATTTGTAAATGGATTTTAAGAAAATCCTTAACCTCTCTAAATAAGGCAAAAATCAATCCCGTGGTACAATTGTTTTAGGTATAGCGCTTTAAATAAGGACGCTATACCCAGTTAAATTATTGTTATGTCAGTTAAGCCTAGAAGAATTATTGGGGCCCACATAATATATATAGCGCGGTAAGGAAATACGGTATATATATAACGCCCTTTTAAAGGGCGTTATACCTTAACGGGCAATAGCGCCCTTTAAAATGGCGTTATATATATTTTGATCACTATATTTTTTTTTTTTCACATATTTTAATTCTTTGAGTTCAAAAAGAATCGCATTATGATTCCGGATTCATGTTATTTGGACCAAAGAAAAGGAGTAGTCGTTATCCAGTTGGCCCATAATTTAGTTGTCACAGCCAAAAAATGATTAGTCTCAGATATGTCTTATCGTGCGAGTCTAATCTCAAAAGGCTACGATGCGAACACCAAGCCTACCCTAACCTTTCATTTTCTTACTGTTGGCTGATGCTACCGCTCCTAAGGTGGTAGGCGGGTCAAACATTGTTGTTTCGAAGGTGTTAGGGTCATGCCAAGAAAAGAAAATATTATACATTATATATTCGGGTAAATCTTCTAAACACACTCTTATCAATTGTATACGTCATCGCCTTAATTGATACTTAGTCATGTAAATTCATACGATTTAATATAAACATCAAATGCATGATAAGTTTTTCCATGCAAGGCGTACACAAAATACATAAAAGATGAATTTGGTAATAGACAAGGTAAATTAGTCTGTGTGTTTATAAAATCATCAATCAAATAGTATGAAAAAAATTTCAAAAATCAGTGATTGATAATTGAATTAACACGAAATTGAAAGGGAATACGGTTTTCACGCTAAGCAAATAAGAGAAGCTCATCTTTGTTGGAATCCTTTTTTTTTCCTTTCGTAAATAACTCAACGAACAGAGAAAAGAGGAATGAAAGGACAGGATCCAACAGAGAACTCTGAAATTGTGGCGTGATCAAGCCCATCCTTCCAAAATCCAAGTCCCACATTCCACTTGAATGCAAAAGAAAATGGAACTACTAAAACTAAAAAAGAGATCACAGCTTTAATACCAATTAAAGACTAAATACTTTTGCAACTTGCTGTACAAATATTTGAAAATTGACACTTACAACAAGGCAATGCTCCAAAAGTCAGTTTAAGACCCCTTGCTGCTCTTATGCGCACAGCACGGGTCAGAGCAAGAGAGACAAAAAGCTAAGAGTTTTATCTACGTTCATAGTTTACAAATGGGAATGAACCAGATGATCTGTGAGTTCCCACCATGCCAAGAAAACGGGAATGATTACTAGACTGAGATACATACCTAGGATATGAAAAATTAGGATAGCTTCCATGATCATATTGTTGATGATCTGGAGCAGGCAGAGCATACGAGGAATAAGAGCTTAAATGTGATCTTGGTGCTGAATGCCAGTTAGATGAATACGAATATGGTACTCCTCCTAGCCCGTAATAATCTGATTCAAAATGGCGGAAATTATTCGTTGAAGGATAATTGAACTGTAATGAGGTCTCCCCAATGGCAGGCACAATGTTTGGATACCTCATAGGGGCTCTACTATTTCTGGACTCTGCCAAATTCAATCTCCCAGGTGGACGAGGCTTTTCATGGCGGTGTTTTTTTCTTTTGCTTCTCACCATTGCTTTCCCGCGTTCATCAATAGAACAATTATGTTTCTTTACTTTGCTTGTCTGTATCATTTCGCTTGGCCTCCTATGATGATCAAGTTTCTGACGCTTGTTACCTACATTTACCAAAAACTACATTAGAGTAAATATAAAGGTGATACGTCAATTTAATTTTCACAAAAGGGCACCTTTATTTTTAGAGGACACTTTTGTCGGCTTTATTGATTTTGATTTTCTTGTTGCTCTAATAAATCTTGCTGCTTCTCCACGTTTGTGCTTCTCTGCAAGCACTTCTAATCTTTCCTTTTCATTCTTCCATCTCTAATAAAAGAGCAGCAAGAAATACCGTTAAAATGTTAGAATATCTGAAAGGAATTGCAGGTACTCCAGAGTAGCTGTGGGTTCACCTGTCTGAAAGTCAACTTATAAAGGTTCCGTCCCTTCACAAGCAACGGGAAAAGTGCAGATAATTTTTTAACCCCTTGGCTCCATAACACCTCAACCTTGTTAATCACAAAAAAGTAGAGGATGGAGAAATATTTAGCAAAACTTTGCGCATGAAATTGCAAGAAAGGGTTATTAGAAGGAAGATATAGCAAGGTATTCAAGTGCTACAATTGAATTTAGTGCCAAGTTGCAAGCTCATATCCACATAACTATGGGTCAAGATTTCTACCCTTATAAAATCAGACATCTCTGGGTGCACTCCAAAATTTCTCTTGAGCCTTACCGTAAAGGTATGCTGTTGTTTGGTAGCACCATAACTCTCCTTAACAATCCTCCCAGCGATGGTTCTCTTCCCTAATAGTTCTCCACCCCTTGTCATCTTGTCAAAACTTAGAAACACGAAACAGTTAATCCAAGAATCAAAGACCACTTTACACTGAAAAAAAGTGAAACAAACAGGAGAGTCAATTAGGTGAATACTTCTTGTACACTTTCTGTGTGAATAATACAACATCTCCTTTACATACGTCACCTGCAGAATCACCAGTCTCAATACTCAAAGATGGAAAAAACAAATGGGAAAACAAAGAAGCATAAGAAAAACAGAGAAGGTATCATGATGCAAATATAAACTACCGGTGCAGTTTATAGTAAATGATGATCTGGGATATAGTCTTTGACCATTTCCATCTTTCATCCTGTGAACAAATCAAGTAATAGGACTTTGCATTAGCAAAAAGGAAAAAACAAAAACCTACTGGGAAAGGAAAAACAGATTTCAAAATATGGACTGACAACATCATACTATTTACAATTAATTCCAAACTAAGTGAAAACTGTTACTATATAGTAATATATATCCTGAGACCATGAAGAATTAATGAAATGCGGTGGAGCTTCAATCACTTATGCTGCCTTCTTTTGCTTGTTTTTGTTGAGTGGGAAGGACCAAGCTCACAGGATAATGAGATATTTTAAGTCACCAAATTGAATCAATTTGCAATATGCAACTTTTTAGCACATTCATTGAGATGTCAATAGAAGAATGAAGAGAATCCAAGTGAGCTAGCAAGAATGAGGACTATACCGACAATCAAGGCATTTCTGATTTCCAGAGTCACTGTGGAACAAGTGCCTCTGGAACTAAAAGAACATAAGGTCAAAACAGAGAAACCAAAAGTTCCTGGTGTATTGGCATACTCGGTGCAATAGCTGAAAAATAAGTGCAAGACATTTAAAAGAGAAAAGCCATTTATACCCACATATTTGTCATGTGAGATTAATGTTCAGAGACAAAAGGACAAAGAGATGAAATAGCAACCATGAAGAAGAGTGGGGAACTTCCATTTTTGGTAAGTACGAAGATAAGTATAGTATATCCTCCAAGACACAATATCTTAACAAAATTATAGTGCAATGATCCGAAAAGGTCAAACTGCTCAAGGAGAGAAAATAATTTAGTTGGTTAAAGGAACAAAATCATCAAGCACTTATAGGTCTCACTGACAATGAGTCAAACCAGGGTTTTTAATTTGCTTAACTATATGCGGTATACACATAGTAGTATGCTGACATTTCTCCCTTATACTTAAAGAGTCGTATACCCTTTTTAGCTGCTCACGATAAGCAACCTAAATGCTTGAGACTCTACCTATTAACAAGACCCTTATACACCACAAAAGAAACAACATAACAGGAAGCAAAAAAAAAAATGAAAAATAAAAATAAAAATGGTTGATGGAATGCCAGGAGAGCACGCTTTATTGTAAATTGCAAAAATTCTAGGGGTGCATTCAAATACATGAGGTTTACATCTTACACTCCGACATACCTCCAGTGCTCTATGATCCTCTCTACACATTCTTCTTTTGTACCAGATAACCTCAACCCATTCGACCGCAAATATGCTTTATAGTCCGTCAAGGTTAGCTTCCTCAATTCTCCCTTTAGCTTCTTCAAATCTCCAACCCCTATACAAGACACAAAAGATTGTAACTTGATAAATTTATATGTTAGAGAGACCATAACTAGCTAATTTATTGTCTTGAGTCAGAATCTGAAAAACATTGTTATTAGTTGGAGATTTTCAACATGTGCCTCCACCATGAAAAGAGAGCAAGTTATGAACTCCTTTGAAGAATCAACAACTGCATTTTACTATACATATGTTAGGATCTTTGGTTTATAAAAATATTGTGAATACACCAAATTGTCCATTGAATAATGAGTAAATTTTTTTGCATCTCTTACTAATTCTATCCTCTCCAATGGCAGGGCACAAGATCCATATTACTTCCGCACCCTTCCCTTCCATGTCCATGAAAGCTCGTGCAAAACATATATCAAAAGTATTTCCATATAAAAAAATTCTCCCTGACCCACCTGGCTCCAGTAATGCACGTTGCCTAACAAGAAGAAAACATGATCACACATTTGCACCAAACTCATGGACAAAGAGGTCCCCTTTATAACTGGGTGCTCAGCCGAGATAGTCGTTGCTCCCAACCCCAACAAACTCTTTTTAGTAGCTCTCAAAGTCTCAGCCCCTTCTTTGGCTTCTCTACTTGCTGATTATTAATAACTCATGCAATAGCAAAGGCTAGTCCATGGTGTGTCACCAATGCCATACTCTAACATGCACTTCCATGGGTTTATCTAACAAAATTGATAGCTCAGATTGGTCTTCCATTGATCGCCCATGTAGGTCTTCGGCAAATCAAATAGGTAATTCAACATTTAAGACTAGCCACCACAACATCACAGGTACTTGTTACAAAGCGATTCGCACAGTCCCACATTTAAAGATCAAACTCATTTGTGCAGAAAGCAACTGAGTTTAAATTCATTAATTTCAATTAAAAAAAATAGAACACTGGGATTGGTTGAAGAATGATCGATTTGCGACAAATTGATAAATCAATTAATGCTAACATTTTACTATAGTAACAGTGCAACTTAGTTTTTCTTCAGTTTATCCATACATTTGCCAGAAGCGTAAGAGCAGAAAAATGAAAACCCCTATATACCTTGGAGAAGGCGAAGGACTCTGTCGCACTCCGACTCCTTACTTTCCTCTTCGATATCATCCTCATCATCATATTCTTCGTAATCACCATCGCTTTCGCTGGCCCAAATTACCCAAAAATTGATCATCATAAAATTTACAATAAACTATGTAGTATTTGAATGAACATAATAATTCATATAGCTCACCCTAATTAATTTGGAATTGAGGCGTAAATTGATTGATATATTAATCGGAAAAGAATACCTTGAGGCGGAGGAGTCAAAATCATCGTCATCCGATTCTGATAATGGTTCTGATTCTTCTGAGCTTCCTTCATATTCTTCATCTCCATTTTTTTGTTCGGAAGAAGAAGAAATTTCAATAACACTGCGTTTTGCTCCTCTCCTCGTCGCCATCTCAATTAGTTAGACTGATACTTTGAAGCTTGTTTTAAGAGCAACAACAAAAGAGTACCATTTCATTTCAAATGCCCAAATTATACGGTCCCATTGACGCACGAATCCACATTTAAAGCGTCAAATTTATCCTCGAACTGTACAAAATGGTATAGATTTTCCCACATTTAACATAACTAGCTGCAAATTTGTAATGACAAGGGTAAATTTGATCAACCGAAGGTAAATACAAACTGTATAATAGCATGATTCAAGAGCATATTTGGACCTTTTCTCTCTTTTTTTATTTATTATAATTTTAAGAAGAAAACTAATAAGATCAAGATAATTTTATTTTAAATAAATGTTGAGATGGGTTCTAAGTTATTTAACTTTTGCGCTAATTTCACGTGAAATAATGCAAAATGGTAAGAAAGCAAATCTTACAAAGGGTAACCTTAACAATTTAATCTTAACAGGTTAACAAAATTTGAAATTTTGATATGATTTTTTGCTGTCAAAATCAAGTTGATATAGTTTTTGTCACGACCCAAACTCCGTCCATATAACGTCGCGACGGTACCTAGTCTCTACGACTAGGTAAGCCTAACAAATTACGAAAAATAACAAAACAAAAGTAAAACTTGACAACTAACAGCAGTGGATAACTGAATAACTAATAACAATACCGCTCGGCATGTAAAATAACCAATACTCTATAAATATACAGTCTTCCCAAAATTCGGAACATCATAAGTCGCAAGCTACAGAAGGAAACTAGTATCTCTATACACCAGAGTCTAATAAAAGAAGTGCGGAAGGTAAATGACATAGGGGAGAATAGAGGGGGACTCCGAGGTCTGCGGACGCGAGCAGATGTACCTTGAAGTCTCCAGAACAACATCAATTGCACAACTAATAGCGAGGCTAGTATAATGAACCTGGATCTGCACACGAAAACAGGTGTAGAAGAGTAGCATGAGTACACCACAATGGTACCCATTAAGTGCCAAGTCTAACCTTGGTCGAGTAGTGACGAGGTCAGGTCAGGCCCACTGATAAATAATAAATAGGGCAGGAGAATATACAGTATAATAAAAGACTAGAATTTAACAAAAGGAAACACAGCAAGGCAACAGTACAACATGCAGGGGTAAGCAGCATGGGATCTCCCGAGAAATAATCTCGTAATCAAAAAATATATATACAGGGAGAACTCACGACATACCACCTCGTAGTCTCAAAAGTAAATATACAGGGAGAACTCCCGAGATACTACCTCGTAGTCTCAAAAGTAAATATGCAGGGAGAACTCCCGAGGTACCGCCTCGTAGTCTCAAAAGTAAATGTGCAGGGAGAACTCCCGAGGAAACTGCCTTGTAGTCTCAAAAGTAAACACACAACTCAAACCGATAAATACAACAGTTAATAGCAAGATTTCTATAGTTATACTGATAAAGAACAAGGAAAAGTAGGAAATCAACTAGGCATGCTTCACAGAGTTCAAATAAGCAGTTAAAGCATGTAGACATGCGAAATTAGACTAAACAAGATAACTACACATATTGGAATAACTCAATTAAGAATGAAAACATACTAATACTCATTTAAACGGTATAACTCAAATTAAAGGAAAAACATATTGCTACTCAGTAAAATAAATCGGGTTTTACAACAAATAGCATGTGTACGTACACGGCGCTCACATATCACAACAGTACCAAATCCTAAGGGAATTTCCCCCACACAAGGTTAGGCAAGCCACTTACCTCGAATCAAGCTCAACTAATCGGTAACAATGCCTTTTCCACGAATATCCGACTCTAAATGGCCCAAATCTAGCCAGAATCAATTACATACCATAAATATAACTATAAGAACTAATCTAATTAATGAAATCAAAGCTAAATCAAGAAGTTAAAAAATTGCCCCAAAAAGCCTCCTCGGGACCACGTCTCGGAATCGGGTAAAAGTCACAAAATATGAACACCCATTCATTCACGAACCCGGTTATGTAATTTGTTTTNCCCCAACCCCTCAATTTTCACCATGAAAACACAAGATTTTTGGTTGAAATCTTAAGAAATGTAGTGAAAGATTGAAATCACTTACCAATGATTTGGGGAAAAAAGTTCTTTGAATAATCGCCTATAGGGTTTCTTGTTTTGAAAATTTGAGAGAATAAACCAAAATCCTGTCTAAGTCCCATTTTGATCAGTTGCACATGTCGCATTTGCGACCTAGGGTTCGCAAATGCGAGCCTCGCAAATGCGAAGAAACAGTCGCAAAAGCGAAGTCCTCGCATCTCTGCTTTCATCGCATTTGCGATGACTTGTTCGCAAATGCGAACGTTGATCTTCCGTATTTGCGATCAAATTGATCGCAAATGCGACCAAGCTTGCCCCAGCCCCAGCCCCACTTCGCAAATGTGAATTCTGGCCTCCCAGCAATTGCGACCTCTTGATCGCAAATGCGAACTCATGCTGACTCAGGTACTCTTCGCAAACGCGAGCCTGTCAGGATTGAGGAATGTTCGCAAATGCGAACACTGATCTCGCAATTGCGAGATCACACACCAATTACCAGAAATTGCAGAACCAGCTGAGTTTGCTAAGTCCAAACCACTCTGTAGCCTATCCGAAACTCACCTGAGCCCTGGGGGCTCCAAACCAAATATGCACACAAGTTTAAAAATATCATACGAACTTGCTCGCGTGATCAAATCGCCAAAATAACACCTCGAACTATGAATCGGACACCAAAATCAAATAAAATTTTCAAGAAACTTTAGAATTGCTATATTAACAACCGGACGTCCGAATCACGTCAAATCAACTCCGTTTCACACCAAATTAACAGATAAGTCATAAATGTAGTATTGGACCTATACCAGGTTCTGAAACCAAAATACGGATCTGATATCAATAAAGTCAAACATTGGTCAAACATTTCAAAGTCATTAAGCCTTTAACTTTCAAATTTCAACAAAGTGTGATAACTCGAGTTAGGGACTTTCAAATTCGACTTCGGACATACGCCCAAGTGCCAAATCACGATACGGACCCACTAGGATCGTCAAAACATGAATCTGGGTACGTTTTCTCAAAACGTTGACCGAAGTCAACTCAAATAGATTTTAAGGCAAAATTTTTATATTTTCTTAGTTTTTAACATAAAAGCTTTCCAGAAAAACACCCGAACTATGCACGCAAATTGAGGAAGGCTAAAATGAGGTATTTAAGGCTTTAAAGTGTAGAATTAGGTTCTAAAATATAAGATGACCTATCGGATCATCACATTCTCCACCTCTAAAACAACCGTTCATTCTCGAATGGACATAGAAAAGTACTTGGGCTGGTGAAAAGATGGGGATATCTACTCTGCATGTCCGACTCGGACTCCCAAATAGCTGCCTCGATGGGCTGACCTCTCCACTGCACTCGGACTGAAGGTTTAACTCTTCGACCTCAACTGACAAACCTGTCGGGCTAGAATAGCCACCGGCTCCTCCTTGTATGTCAAATCCTTGTCCAACTGGACAGAGCTGAAATCTAACACGTGAGACGGATCATTGTGATACTTCCGGAGCATCGAAACATGGAATACTGGACGAACTCCTGGTAGGCTGGGAGGCAAGGCAAGCTCATAAGCAACCTCCCCAACATGTCGCAACACCTCAAATGGGTCGATAAACCTTGGGCTCAGCTTGCCCTTCTTTCCGAAACTCATAACACCCTTCATAGGTGACACCCGGAGCAAGACCCGTTCCTTAACCATGAATGCAACATCGCGAACCTTTCGATCCGTATAACTCTTCTGTCTGGACTGGGCTGTGCGAAGTCGATCCTGAATCAACTTAACATTTTCCAAAGCATCCTGAACTAAGTCTATACCCAATAATCTAGCCTCGCCCGGCTCGATCCAACCCACTGGAAACCTACACCTCCTACCATACAGAGCCTCATACGGTGCCATCCAGATACTCGACTGATAATATTTGTTATAGGAAAACTCTGCAAGTGGCAAGAACTAATCCCAAGAAACTCCAAAATCTATCACACACGCACGGAACATATCCTCTAATATCTGAATAGTGCACTCAGACTATCCGTTCGTCTGAGGGTGAAATGTTGTGCTCAGCTCCACTCGAGTACCCAACTCATGATGTACGACCCTCCAAAATCATGATGTAAACTGCGTACCCCGATCAGAGATGATAGATACCGGTATGCCATGAAGCATGATGATCTCGCAGATATAAATTCGAGCCAGCTGCTCGGAAGAATAGGTAGTCATCACAGGAAGAAAATGAGCTAACTTGGTCAGCCTATCCACAATCACCCAAACTGCATCAAACTTCCGCTAGATCCATGGAAGTCCAACCACAAAATCCATAGTGATCCGCTCCCATTTCCACTGCGGAATCTCTAACTTCTGAAGCAATCCACCTGGCCGCTGATGCTCATACTTCACCTGCTGGCAATTTAGACACCGAGCTACATACTCCAATATGTCCTTCTTCATCCTCCTCTACTAGTAATGCTGCCTCAAGTCCTGGTACATCTTCGTGGCACCCGGATGAATGGAGTACCGCGAGCTATGAGTCTCCTGGAGAATCAACTCACGCAACCATCTACGTTGGGCACACATAGCCTGCCCTGCATCCTCAATGCACCATGATCTCCAATAGTGACCTCATTAGCATCACTGTATTGAACTGTGTCCCTAAGGACAAGCAGATGGGGGTCATCATACTGACGCTCCCTGATACGATCATAAAGAGAAGACCGAGAGACCACACAAGCCAATACTCGACTCGGCTCAGAAATATCCAATCTCACAAACTGGCTGGCTAAGGCCTGAACATTCAACGCCAATGGCCTCTCTGTTGCTGGTAGATACGCTAAACTCCCTAAACTCTCTGCTCGGCGACTCAAAGCATCGGCCACCACATTGGCCTTCCCCGGATGGTACAAAATGGTGATATCATAATCCTTAAGCAGCTCCAACCACCTCTGCTGACGCAAGTTAAGATCCTTCTGTTTGAACAGATGTTGCAAACTCCGGTGATCGGTGTAGATCTCACAAGGGACACCATACAAATAGTGCCGCCAAATCTTCAAGGCATGAACAATAGCTGCTAACTCATGGTCGTGGACAGGATAGTTCCTTTCATGCACCTTCAGCTATCTAGACGCGTAGGCAATCACCCTACCGTCCAGCATCAACACCGCACCGAGACCAATCCGCGACGCATCATAATATAC